TTTCTATGGCGATTTTCTATAGTGATTCCCCTATAACACAATTTTCTATGGCGATTTTCTATAGCGTGATTTTCTAGAACACGAGGTTGCACAAGAACGCAACTATTGTGTTATAGGAGAACTACTTGTGTAAGATTTAAGAGAAATTGCTTAGCTCAGTTGGCTGGATGGTGTGTTTGTGATTTAGATGATGCCAGCAGTGCAGGCTCAATTCCCACTCTGGCTGAGGTTACCATGAAGGTCCTGTTTTCTCAATCTCTCTCCTTACCTGAGGTGTGGTGACCCTCAGGTTAAACTGCCACCAGTCATTGTTCTCTAATGAGAGAGCAGCCCCATGGTCCAGTAAGAGTATGGTCACTTTACCTTTGGGGAGGCAATGGCCTTAGTGGTATTATCACGGGACTGTTAATCCAGACATCCGGGAATCTGGGTTGGAATCCTGCCATAGCAGATGGTGGAATTTGATTTAAGAAAATCTTTAATTAAGAGTCTAATGATGACCATGAATCCATTGTCTATTGTTGGAAAAACCCACCTGGTTCACTCATGTCCTTTCAGGAAGGAAACCTACCATCCTTACGTGGTCTGGCCTACATGTGACTCCAGACCCACATCAATGTGGCTGACTTTTACCTGCCCCCTGGGCAGTTAGCAGTGGGTAATATACTTTGGCCTTATGAATCAATAAATAATGCAAAAGGGGATTGACAAAGTATAGATGGAGAGGATGTTCCTCATATGGGCAATCTAGTGCAAAAGATCAGAGTTTTGGGATAAGGGGTAGCAGATTTAAAGCAGAGATGAGGAGAAACTACTTGTCTCAAAGGGTCGTGAAACTGTAGAATTCACGGCCCCAGAGGGTGGTCGATGCTGGGACGTTGAGAAAATTTAAGGAGAAGGTACCCAATTAAACTAGTAACAGTTCGAAGAGTTATGGAGAGTGGGCAGGAAAGTGGATTTGGAGCCAAGATGAGATCAGCCATGACCATGTCTGCTTCTGCTCCTAGTTCTTATAAGTATACACATACACATGCACATGCACACACATGCACATGCACACACATACAAAAACAAAAGTCCCTTGGTTGTAATTGAGGCTTAAGGTCTTAATCTGAGACCACTGTTGGTTAGCTGGTTTTGTGCATTAAGTAGTTATTTTAAAGTTCTCAGTTTCTGATATTTCTTTTCTGTGGTGGTTTGCAAGGGAACCATGACTGTTACTTTGGGCAACACAGTGTTGAGTTTAGATGAATGAGAGGAGATCTAATTGAGGTATATAAGATACAGGTGTTTCTGCAATAATGAGTGTTTCGTTAAAACGAATTGGCTGTAATGTGATCGATGAATAGTGGGCGCTGTTTGGATAATGTGAGTAGTGGACATACCAACTTCCCTTACAGTCATCCCCAAAAGATCTAGAACCTTCATGAAATACTCATTCCCATACAAAATTCCTTTGGGTGGCTTCATCTATGGTGTCAATGTCCAGTCCTTTTGCAGCTGTTAACATTTTCCTGTGACTGCAGTAGGTTTTGATGGATCTAGATTGTATGGAGTCTCTCTTCTTGCTACTGCCTTCAACCCTCTCCAACCTCGCATACCCTTTTCATGTGTAATCCATTGCTTCCCTCACCTCAACCTTGATAGCTTTGCATTTTCCAGCAATTTGTCTTGTCTCAGTCAAATTGACAGTGGCTCCAACCAGCTGAAGACTTAAAAATTGTATTTTCAAAAGTAAAAGGGTGTAGCCTCATGACATGCTGTTGAAAGGAGACTCAACTAAGAATTAGAATGATTGAGGTGAGTGGGGGAGGGGGGAGCTAGATGTTGCAGAGCAGATTGCTTTCTCCTGGCCAAAACAATAGAACCAAAATGGAGAGTAAATATAAAACAAATATTCCAGCGGTGAGCGGAAAACCTATAGAACAGGCTTCCTAGGTAGTCTGTGATGGTAGTTTGTATTAGTTCATTTAAAAGCAAGTTATATAACTTTGTTTCAACAGTTGACATTTTGAGATACAGTATATGACTAATTTGAGACATGACATATGGTAAGTGTGGTGTGCCTTTGAGGAGCGGTGAATTCAATTTATACTCCCCAAACCTCTGCAGCTCATATCTGAGGCCCTTGTACAATAACACCACTATGATTGCATCAAGTGACTACCAGAATGGTAGAAGTTTTAATTGTTGGGTTTGGTCTCTCTTCAACTTGCAATTTCCATATCGTTAAGTATATCTCTTGTATTGACAGTCAAAACCAGAATGCAGATGCGCAACTGTGATTCTACACAAGTATTTGCAATGATTTTTATTTCTTTAGGTGAAGTTTGATGGAGAACCGGATGAGGATCTGGGAGCTATAAGGCAGGAATTCTTCCTTTTTCTCTTTAGAGAGTTGATTCAGCCAGATTCCAGAATGTTTATTTACAGTGAAGACTTCAGAATCATTTGGTTTCCCCCAGAGGTGAGCCAAATTAACTTGTTTAAGAAAAGCAGGATGCCAATGTGAATAGACGGTATGTTCGTTCTCCAGATTTTGCAAAGTAATTTGAAAATATTATGTGGCCTCTAAGCTCCATCCCCAAACTGCAAAGTGCCTTCTAATCTGCAGCATTTTCTCACTAAAAATATGTTGTTTGGAATATTTCAGTCTTTGTTTATCACAGTCTGACTGTGTGACCTCAAGGTCACACTCAAAAAGAAGATATGCAACTTATTGTGAACAGAGCCCAATATAGGTAGGAGCAAATTACTGCAGATGCTGGAATATGTACTGAAAACAATAAATGCTGCAGATCACAGCGGTCAGACAGCAACCATGGAGAGAGAGCAAGCTAACACTTTGACTCATTCTATGAGTCTAGGTGAGTCTTCATCAGAGCTGAAGAGTTAGGTTTCAGAGTTAGGTTTCAGCTCTGATGAAGTGTCATCTAGACTCAAAACGTTAGCTTGCTCTCTCTCCATGGATGCTGCCTGACCCACTGTGATCTCCAGCATTTATTGTTTTCAGAGACCTATATATTTGTTACTTGTCTGTATATTACATGTATTTATGTAGAGTGTGTATATAGATTTTATCCAGTACTGTCCCTGAACATCAATCTTCAGGTACCATACTTGATGTGCACAATACAGTATTTGCATTTGATTAGCTCAAACTTTATGTTTAGTTTTAAAAAATGCAAGCTGTTAGGAGATTACTGGGTAGGAAACAAACCAATTAAAATCCATAAAAAGCAATATTCATTGATATCTGTTCAGGAACGACATTACTAAGCTATATATAAAAGCAATTAGTCAACATTGATCCACCACGAGAAATGAAAGGTGAACTCAATTCTGTTTTATTTTGTTGAAACTTCTTTCCATTGCTACCTTACATTTGGATTCAACTAAGTACCTAAATATTCAGTTTATAATGTAGTAACAGTATCACGTTATTACACGTACCAAAAAATGATCAAACGCATCTATTCAGCTGTACTTAGTATATTTGAAATGCGACAACCAACATTTTCTGAGCCAGTGTCTTTCTCTGGTGCCAAGAGTTTGAGAATGCTAATGATTTATGTCTTTAGCAATTGATATAGAAGCATAGAAAATGGTAGCAGGCATAGACCATTCGGCCCTTTGAGCCTGCTCCATCATTTAATATGATCATGGCTGATCCTCCAACTCAATCCCCTGTTCCCACTTTCTCCCCATACTCTTTGATCCCTTTAGCCCTAAGAACTATGTCTAACTTATAATGACATATAGATTATTATATTCTTTTGTCTTCATTATCGTAGATCTCAGTGCCCATTAAAAACTACCATCTGCTTGGAATACTGTGCGGCCTTGTTGTGTATAATTTCAGTGTGGTCTACATCCCATTCCCGCTTGCACTCTTCAAGAAGATACTGGGTATGATGCCCACATTGGAGGATCTGCAGGAGCTACAGCCTTCTTTGGAGAAGTAAGTTTCCAGATCTGCAGGCAACTTTCTCATATGATTGCAGATTTTATGCCGTTGCTATTCATGTATTTGTTTAATGAAATACCTGGTTCAGTGCTAAGCACAAGGTGTGAACAGGGAAGTAGAGACAACAGAAAAAAGAGAAAAGGATAAAGAGGTATGAAAAGTTCGCAAAATTAGTTTACAGAGGTCACAAGTTCCATATCAGTTGGAAATCATTTGATGCTTGGAGAATGTCTAAGTTCTCTCCCTTCATCTGCATAACTACTGCAACATTATTAAGTATCATTTTTGTTGAAAGGTTATCTCAAATTCATTGAAACATACCATCCAAAGAGCTAAATGAAGCTAAAGTATCTTCCATAAAAGCGTGATTCCAGAAAATCTATTGCATCCAGAAGGTCACATTCTCGAACTCTCTGTATAAGCTGAATCCTGACCTTTTAGATCTTGGTGTACAGGGGCAACTTCAATTTTTGCAGATGACACAAAACTTAGCGGATTGGTAAACTGTGAGGAGTACACTGTGAAACTCCACTAGGACATTAACAAGTTGATGGAGTGTGCAGATAGGTGGCAAATGAGTTTCAATGTAGGGAAATGTGAGATAGTGCATTTTGATAGGAAGAACATTGAAATACAGTATCAAACAAAGGGGAAAATTCTACAGAGGGTGCATAGATCATGGAAAATGGCAGGACAGGTAGAGAGAGCTACAAGTAGAGTATACAGCTTTATTAATAAGGGTATAGTGTACAAGAGCAAGGTAATGATATTAAACTTGTTTAAGACACTTGCTGGAACTCAGCTGGAGTATTGTGCAGAGTTCTGGATGCTATCTTTTAGGAAGGTTGTGTACAGATTAGAGAGAGTGCAGAACTGATTGATAAGAATGGTCCCAGGAATGAGAAACTTCAGTTATGAGGACAGATCAAATAATTTGGGAGTGTTTTTTTTGGAGAGAAGAAATTTGAGAAGGGATCCAATAGAAGTTTATAGAATCACGAGCAGGCTGGAAGGAGCAGGCTGGGGAGAAGGTGTTCCTGCTTGTAAGAGGAACAAGAACAAGAGCGGCATAGTTTTAAAGTGATGTGCACACAAAGTAAGGTGAGATGACGAAAAGCTTTTGCACTCAGCGAGTAGTTAGTGTATAGAAAGCATTGTTTGCAAGTGTGGTGGAGGCAGCTTCAATTGAGCATTCAAGAGGGCATTGGATGATTATTCAGATAAAAATAATGTCTGAGGGTATGGAGAAAATGCAGGAGATTGGCACTAGGTGATGATGCTCATTAAACGAGGGGCAGACTGTCCTTCTGCTGCACTGTAGCACTTCTGTGATTCGGTGAAATTGCTCCCTTTCTGGGCCAGAGAGGTCAGTTGGTATTATGCTAACAATTACCATGTCATTAAAAAAGGTACACTTAACTTCGAGTTCTAAATTTCCATGGGGAATTTAAAAGGCAATTAATGTACAAATCAAAAGAAATCTTAAAATAATGGAGAGGCAAAGGGTGATTACTTATGTGTGAAGCATGTGGCAGGGGCATAATTGACCAACAGTTCTAAAGATTCACAACTCATGGTGTTCCTCGTAATCCTCTGAAACTTATGCTTGTTGTCTGCATTAATAACTTGTGCGTTAATAATTTGCCATTCATGCTTTGAGTTTTTTTCGAACAAAACACAGTCAGTTAAAGATTATTGGGCTATGTATATGCTTTATTTCATTCAAAACATCCCATATTCATTTTCAACTTCAGTAATTGTTTTAGAGGTTTCTCAGTTTACAATAGTTTGCTGTAATCATAACAGATTCAATTCCAATACTTTCTTTCTATGTCTGTCCACTTTTAGAATACTGCAGCATATTCTGGACAATGACGAGGACCTAGATGTGGACATAAACTTTTCTGTGAGTAGAAAGGATTTACGTCAATCATGTTGGAACAGCTCCAGACAGCTTACTAACAAATAGAAGGTGTTCTTTCATTATGTACTTGAGTCAGACCAAGCATTTTGAAAAGTCCAAATTGCAGCCTCACCAACTTAGACAGATAAAGAAGTTACATATGTATGATGCTTTCCATCTCAAAAGCTTTCAAATCTCTGCAGTGAATTTTCTGAAATTATATCAGGGGTGTCGTAAAATGATATCAGGAATGAGAAAGTGACAAAGGAGGCCATTTGGTCCATTGTGAGAGAACTATACAACAATAACAAATTCCTTAGTCCTGCCTTTCCCCCAAGAACTTGTCTAATACCTTTTAGAAAATTGCTAATGATTTTGTTTCCTCTGCCCGTTCAGGTTGTGCCTTCTAGATCACAGTACCTCACTGTGTATTTTCTTTTTGTTCCTTGTACAGTCTCTGGTTCTTTTGCTAATTACTCTGAATGCCTGTCGTCCAATTCCCAACACTCCTTCCAGTAAAAATAGATTTTCCTTATTTATTCTATCAGAACCCTTGAAGATTTGAAAAGTTCTTTCAAATCTCTCCTTACTGTTCTTTAAAGAGAATAATCTCAGTCCATGTAACTGCTGACTTTTATCCCTGATACCAATAGTTAATCAGAGCTCTTGTAATGCCATGGTAGTGTCCCTACATCTGAGCCAGAGGACCGTTTCAGGTGCCACCAGCTCCAGAAGTCAATATATAAGTTGATTAAAAATGTCTACCAATAGTAAATCTCTTCTGCATCATCTCCATTGTTTCCTGCTAAAGGGTGGAGCCCAAATATGCTGACAGTATTTGATCTAAGCATTACTCATGCTGAACACCATTTTTCCACTTTTTTATTCTTTTTCTTTCTTTGCAAAGCCAAGGATCCACATTTTGTTTGTAAGTATCTGGACAAGTTGAGAAGCCTATTACAGTGGATTACATGCATTGTGGATAAGGAGGAGCCTGTTGATGTACTGTATTTGGATTTCCAGAAAGCATTTGACTAAGTTCCATATAAAAGGTTATTGTGCAATGTAAGAGCTTATGGTATAAGGGGTGATGTACTAGAATGGATAGAAGATCAGCCAGCTCATAGAAAACAGCGCGCATCAATAGATCTATTTCAGATAAGCAGGATGTGATGAGTGGGGGTTGCAGGGGTCTGTGTTGAGCCTTCAACTTTTTATATTTTATATCACTGCCTTAGATGAGGAAATTGAAGACGTGATGGCTAAGTTTGCAGATGACACAAAGATAAGTAAGGACATCAGTTGTGAAGATGATATAACAAGGATGCAGACTGTTTATAGGTAGGTTAAATAAGTGGGCAGAAGTCTGGCAGATGGAATGTAATGGGGAAAATATGAAGTTGTACAGTTTAGCAGGAAGAATGAACAACAGGGTATTGTTTAAAAGGAAAACAACTGCAGTTTTGCTCTTCATTTAATGGAAGGATGTATATGCATTGGAGATGGTTCAGAGGAGCTTTACCAGATTGATACCCGGAATGAATGAGTAATCTTATCATATAGTATTAGATAGGCTGGGCATGTTTTCCATAGAGTTCCAAAGAGCGCGTGGTGATTTGATTGATGTATACAACGTTCTGAATAGTCTTGACAAGGTGGAGGTGGAAAGGATGTTTAATTCTACAGGTGAGTCCAGAACTAGGGGGCATGGCTTTAAAATTAGGGGCTGAAATTTTTTTTCCCACTGAGAATCGTGTGACTTTGGAACTCTCTGTCTCATAATGTGGTGGAGGCAGAGGCAGTGTTTAATTTTAAGACTGAGGTAGATGAATTCTTGTTAGACAAAGAGATCAGAGGCTATCAGGCAAAGTGGAATTTGAAATAAAAACAGATCAGCCATGATTCTATAAAATGATGGAAAAAGCTTTGGGACAAAATGGCCTTATTCTATTGCTAATTTGTTTGTTTCCATTAAAAGTCGCATGTACTGCACCCGCCAGACTTTCTGATCCAGCACTTCATTTGAACTTTTTAAAAAATGCATTTTTACAGTGCATTTCACAACTAACTCAGTGCTTTGCAGGCAATGAAATACTTTTGAAGTATAGTTGTAGGACATTACTATTTAGTTTATCTTGCTTGCCCTGATTCTTAACACAAAGGATCACTCATCATTAGTTGAAGAATTATGACTCACAACACAAGGAATCATAACTGACTCTTTTTTTAAAATGCAGATTATCTGGGAGAATAAGGAGGTTGAGCTCATTCCAAATGGCAGGGACCAGCCTGTGATGAAGGAGAACAAGTACGTTATAAATAAATGGAGCTACAGTGAGGTCAGAGTTTTAGACCTCTTCCTTTTGTCTTTACTCATCTCTCTTCACTTGCTCCAAATGAAAGACTTGCCTGCTCCATTGTTCATGCACCCAAGCCTGTCCATTACCCAGTTCCTTGAAGAAGAAACTTGGCAAATGTTATACCTCCTGAGAATTTCCTTGTCTTCATTTTGATAGAATTGAGGGGTCAGATGAGGGCTACTGTTTTGCAGCTCAGGTATTGTTTTGTCTTATACTTCTTTGCCTTTCTCCAAAGAGGCTGCTAGGAGCCAAGTCATGTCTGATTATGGAGGTGCAGGCATCAGGAATGTGAGAAAGACTTGATGGACCAGTTGTCATTCCCTGCCCATTGCTATTTGTATTTTTATAAGCAGACTTGCCTGTTTCTGCCAGGCATTGAGTAGCCTCTAAACAACTAAACTTAAAACTCCAGCCTTTCCCTGAATGACATGCCCTCGGTCTACTCAGCTCATGAACCTCACGTGAGCTATAACAAGATTGTACTTAAATAAGGGCCAATCCCATAACTGGTTTGGGCCTCTGGGCACGAGCACTGTATTGTCAGCAGAGTTGCATTGCCTATTTGCTGCCCATTTCTGGCAGAGGGCAAAGGCTGCCCCAACCCAGGGATACAAATGTCATCAAACTGCATTGTTGGTAGTCTGTTCACATAGCATACATTTGGGTCATATTTTAATGTTGCTGTTTCCTTACAATCAAAGGGAAGAATATGTGAATGCCTGCGTCAATTACATATTCACAGCATCAGTCAAAGAACCCTTTGATGCGTTTCGAAGAGGTTTCTATAAAGTTTGCGACAAGACTCTACTAAAGTTCTTCCAGCCACGAGAGCTGATGGACATATTGATTGGAAACGATGACTATGATTGGAACATGCTGGAAAAGGTTTGAAAACTATTTATAACCCATACAGAAATTACTGTGCCTAGAATCTGCCTCTTCATGAGGTCACTGTTTTAATACAGGGAAACACGGCAGGTAATTTGCACAAAGCAAGATTCCAAAAACACCAATGGTACAACAAGACTTATGTAGCACCTTCTTAGTATAGAAGGCATACCAGAGAAAGAGCATCAGTTTATATTTAGGGGGTAGGGACTGGTCTTCTCTCCTTGATGACACCGTGAACACTGTGAAAGATCCATGAAAATACTTTATAAACATTAATAGGACGTCTTGTGGCACAGTGGGCAGTGTCCCTGCCTCCGAGCCAGAAACTCTGGGGTTAAGTTCCACTCTGGGACATTAAGGCCAAGGAAGGTGTGTTCATCAAGGTATGATGAGTATCAACCTGCAAATCATTCCAATAAACTGCCAATGGCAGGTAAGACCAGGAGAAATTCCATGTGATGGAAACAAAATTAGAGCATCCTCCATTGCTGTCCATAGCTTTAGATGATAACGTGTATGTAAAAAGGGCATTTTACCACAGTGACGTGAATTCCTTGGGGGCATTGGCGTACTGGTTGGACTGCCAACTGGTGTGGATCAAACTGGTGCCAGCATCGTGGGATTTGATCCCCTTTCCACCTGTGCTGGCTTCAGGATCTACGTCCTTGCTGGCCCATGGGAGGGTTTGTGGAGCTGTTGGCCATACCTGCCTTTGAGCAGAGTACTCAAGAACAATGATGTGACAACGTAAGGATTTGAAATGGAAGCATATCCTGAAGTGTTTGTCCTGCTGTGATATGTTATGTGATTGTAATATACAATTTTTTTTAAAATAACAGAATACCACATACAGCGGCAATTACAGCAGATCACATCCAACCATTGAGATATTTTGGAAAGTGTTCCATGAACTGTCTTTGGCTGAGAAGAAGAAATTCCTGTGTAAGTACTGCATTGAGCTATAGAAGTTAGCCACATCAGATGTACACTTCCACAGTGAGCATCTCCCACAAAAGATCTCATTGACTCGTAGGTGGTATTTAAGGCAGCCCTGCAAGTTTATTTTCTTTATATCCTCATTCAATTTCTTTTTGAAATTATTAATTCTGCACAGTGAGTTCCAGAGTTAGGTACATTATAATCTCTATTATTTAATACATAAATTCAAAGCATGTCGTTTACTTACTAAAGATCGACATTGATTGATTAATTGATTTGTTGTCACATGTACTGAAATAGAGTGAAAAGGTTTGTTTACGAGCGGTACAAGTAGATCACAGCAAGCAAAGGATGTACGGATCAAAAAGACTTAGAGGCATACAGGTTACATTGCAGGCTACATTACTTGAGGCTGGAATCCACTCAACAGTCTGATAATGGCCAGAAAGAAGCTGTTCCCGAACCTGCTTGTGCATATTTTCAGGCTTCTGTATCTTCTGCCGGATGGAAAAGGTTGTAAGAGGTCATTACCGGGGTGGGATGGCTCTGTGATGATGTTGGCCGCCTTTGCGCAGCAGTGAACTGTGTACACAGAGTCCATGGATGGAAGGTTGGCTTCCATAATGGTCTGGGCTGTGCACACCACCTTCTGCAGATTTTTACGGTCCTGGGCAGACCAGTTGCCGTACCAAGTCGTTATGCACATGGACAGTATGCTTTCAGTGGTGCATCTGTAGAAGTTGGTGAGAGACCTTATGGGCATGCCCAATTTCCTGAGCCGCCTGATAAAGAGGTGTTGTTGTGCCTTCTTGACTGTTGCATTTACGTGAGAAGTCCAGGACATTGTACACTAAAACAGAGCTTTATGAATGCTGAATTTTCATTTTGTGCTTCCCAAATGTTTTACTTGAGGTAACTATTTTTAAAAAGGTTCTTTGATTTAAAAACAGGTTACTGACTCTTGATCTAATTTATTATTGGGATATGCTTGAGTGGGTGAGTGCTTGTTTCTTATCTAGCCTTTTCTAGTATTGGTCCCTTCACTTTTAGAGATATCTCGCAGCTTTAATGAGGATTCAGTGCAGATTCACTGGAATGACACATACTGTTAAGGAAGACAAAAATAAAGAATGACTTGAAAAGTTGCAGCTTTTATTGCTGCAGCAACAGAGAATATGGGAGCATCAGAAAGAAGTGTTGGTAATTTTCAAAGGTTAGAGGCTGAGGATTCTGCATTGAACAGCAAATTTCCTGAACCCCTCCTCCACACTCTGCACCCTGAAGCCTGTCTATCAGCTGGAAGGCACAAATCAGGAGTGTATTGCAATACTCTCCACTTCCCTGAATGGGTGCAGCTCCAAGAAGTTCAACATCATCTAGGGTAAAGTCACCCCATCTACAACCTTCAGCATTCACTCACTCCACCATCAATGCACAATAGCAGCAGTGTGTCCCATCTACAAGATGTAATGATGCAATTTACCGATGGTTCTTAGACAGCACCTTCCCAACCCATGATCCCTAACACCTAGAAGGTACAAGGCCAGCAGACACATGGGAATGTCCCCATCTATAAGTTCCCTCCTAGCCACACAGCATCCTGACTTGGGATTCTATCACCAACTTTCACTATTGCTGAGTCAAAATTCTGGAATTCCCTCCCTAACACCACTTATACCCTAAGGACTGCAATGGTTCAAGAAGTCCAAAGTAGAGCTTCAAATTGTTTTAGAGTTGGGCAACAAATCATGGCCTTGCCAAGATCATATGAAAGGATGTGACTGAGTAGATAGATGTAGAGTGGAGGCTAATGAATGCTTAGCAAGTATGGGCTAATTTGGATATTTGAGACACTAAGTTATGCCAGACATAAACTTTGTCTCCTGGGTGTTAATGAAACAGTTCAGAATGTGCTCTTTCAGAATCTTTAAACTCACGTGATACAGCAATTGATGTATTAGGTAGACAGTAGGGGCAATGGATGAAAAAGCCTTTAGTCACAATGTTCCGCCCATCCTCGCATGGGCAGCTTTGCTGGACCAAAGTATTATCATCTAGCCTGTCAGCTTTGTTTCCTGGCATGTCAAAACAGTTACAAACATGAAGTACATAATGGCACAGGTACGGCTTTTACAGATAATGCAGTATGAACACTCAAAACTCTTTTCTCAGTATTTCTTACAGGCAATGATCGTCTTCCAGTGATGGGAATGGTGCGTGTTAACATGCATATTATCTGGAGTCCACTGTCAGAAGACAACTACCCGGAGGCAGATGTCTGCTTTAGTAACCTGAGACTTCCAGAATACAGCAGCATTGAAATTTTGAAAAAGCAACTGCTGACAGCCATTAACACTAAAGAAAGATTTGACAAATTGTGAAGCACATTTACAATGAGAGGAAAATTTATTACATCCCATTTGGACTGTATTTTAACTTCTAATAGCATGATCGTCAGCACTTGCATCATCCTAGCTTATCACAGTTACCCATCCACATCAGGCAAATGACGCTAACCAAAAAAAAAACCAAAAGAACTGCGGATGCTGTAAATCAGGAATTAAAACAAAGTTGCTGGAAAAGCTGAGCAGGTCTGGCAGCATCTGTGGAGGAGACAACAGAGTTAACGTTTCGGGTCCGGTGACTCTTCCTCAGAACTGATGGTGGCTGGGAAAACGTCAGTTTATATGCAGAAAACAGGGAGGTGTACTCCCTACATAAGTACTCCCTACCCCACTCACCTCCCTATTTTCTGCATATAAACTGATGTTTTCCCAGCCACCATCAGTTCTGAGGAAGGGTCACCGGACCCAAAACGTTAACTCTGTTTTCTCCTCCACAGATGCTGCCAGACCTGCTGAGCTTTTCCAGCAAATGACGCTAACCATTTGCTATTATCATAGAACATCAACCACAAAGGTGTTACTTACATTGTACTAAACATGCCATTTCAGGAGACCTATTTCGAACATTTCAAACAGTGGTTGGCACTTAGTGCTTTGGTCACTTTCACTTAAATTCAGTGGGGCCAAATTACCACGTTATAGAGACAGACCCTTCAGTCCAACCAGTCCTTGCTGACCATAATCCCAAACTAAATTACTCCCACCTACCTGCATTTAGCCCATTTCCTTCCAAACATTTCTTATTCATGCACTTATTCAAATGTCTTTTAAATATTGTAAGTATCTGCATCCATTACTTTCTCTGGAAGTTCATTCCATACATGAACAGCTGTCTGTGTAAAATAGTTGCTCTCATGTCTTTTTAAAATCTTTCTCCTCTCACCTTAAAAATATAACCCTTAGTCTTGAAATTCCCCCCCTAGGGAAATGACATCTGCCTTTCACCTTATCAACACCCCTCATGATTTTATAAACCTTTATAAAGTCACCCCTCAACCTCCTACGTTCCAGGGAAAAAAGTCCCAATCCATCCAGCCCCTCATTATAACTCAAACCCTCCTTTCCCAGCAACATCCAGTCATCCCTTACATACTACAAGGGAAACTGGCCAGGCTGTTACAACTAACCCACTCTGTTTTCATGTGGGTTTTTAATAAGCCATGCAGATCAAACAGGAAGTGGGGAGATGGGGATAACTGAATATTCCCCTTTGTGCTTATTTAAACAAATTATTAACTCATGCATTTGCAGATTTATTCATTAACTATACTGGCCATCAAATTCACAAGAAATTCCACCTATTTTTAAAACATGAACTTTTGACAGTGGACAAATTGTGTTGACACCAGTACCTCCAACATATATGGCAGAGACTGTATTCAGTATCCTACATGTATATGTTACTTTATTTTGGAATCTTAGCTTGGATTTTTCCTTTGGCTGTTAGGCTTTTATCCCCTAACAATGCATAGATATGTTAAAGGGAACACTAAATAATCACACGAGGAAGAAAAGAGTAATAATGAGAAATAATGAGATTAAAAGAAAAGGAATGGGATGGAAGTTCACTTGGAGTGTAGCCAAACACCAAAACCATTTGTGTGGAATGATCTGAATGTGTGCTGCATTGTGGACAAGTCAGTATAATTTAGTAACTTTGGAAGATTCCATAAAGCATACAGTGGCCAGCCACTTAAAGAGGGTCCCAGTTTGGATTTTAAATTGTTTTGTACGCAGGAATGATGTGTGTGTTTGGCATGAATCAGAGAGGGTTTACTGGATTAATACTTGGAATGCACAGGCTGATTTATGAGGATCGGTTTGTCAGGCTTGCGCTTGTTTTGCCTGAGGTTTTGAAGAGTGAGGGCTGACTTGATTTAGTTTTATAATACCCTGAGAGGTCTTCACAAGGTGGATGCAGAAAGTGATGTTACTTTTGTGGATAAGTCCAGAACTAGGGGACACTGTTATAAAGGGATAACAAGGTGTAGAGCTGGATGAACACAGCAGGTCAAGCAGCATC